AACAACTCTTTTCAAATTACACATATCATGATGGTTTTGGTCATAAGACTACAAGTTAAGATTGTCACATCATCAAACTTAAAGCCCATTGAGATGATCACCTAAAAATCCGAAAGAAGTTCAACTTTTGTAAAGAAAAAAACAGGGGAAAGCAGTCTATTGATAGAAGTAAGTTAATTTTTTTTGTTGTTTAGTCTTAATTTTCTCTTTGGATTTTTGGTTCCTGGTCATATGTAAGTGTATATATTGTAGAGTTAGTGCAATGATCAGATGGTGCAATTCAGAATTGAGAATACTAGAGCCTAAATAAAAATATTTCTAGATGAAGCCACTGTCCAGTGACTTGGTTAGAAAGATGAATAATAGTGAGGATATCTGTGTTTTGCAATACAATTAACTATGTTTAGTATTATAGAATATATATGTGTATATACACATTTCTTAAAAATATGGATTGTATTTCTGTTCCCAGATCATTATCACTTTAGAGAATCTTGAAAAAGGGAAGAGAAGCCTTTCTGTGTTAAAACTGGGAAAAGTAATTATGCAGACTAGAAGAATATGTCAGGAATTTCCTATATAGAGATCAGCATTATTTTCCTTTGATGGAATTCCAGTGTGCTTTTTATAAATGAGAGTGGATGAAACTCAGGAGATGTGACAGTGAAGAAAAATAATACTAAGCATTTAATACAGAAACATATGAAAATTAACAGATTTCAGCCCTTTGTGTAGGTTCAGTTTCTATTTGGCATTTTTTCTGAGTAGCAGAAAGCAGAACAAGACAATCTCTGAGCAGTGGTATCACAACCTCTCTTGGGTCAGTGGATCAATCCAGTGGTGTGAACAGCTGTGTAGGAAAGTATAACTAGGCCACAATTTCCAAGTGTAGATGAAATTGGTAGTTTTCCCACCCTTGCCCCAAGTACAATCCAAGTATTTCAGCAGCCTGCCAAATCTCCATGTAGTATAGAGCTCTGGAATGCACCCTGCTTCTCACATCCTATGCTAACAGGACTTTAACTGGTGTAATTTAGAGCAGGGAAGATGTGATGATGCTTCCACACATGATGAATGTTGTGCATGACAAGTTGACTTTTTAAAAATTTATCTTTTTGTAGTCTGCTTTCTTGATGCTAATTCATTTGGGGGGAAAATGGTATTCTTTTTTCCTTATCCTGTTTTCCAAAGAATTCTAGCCTTAAGTGATCGAATAGTCCATTTGCCTTTTGTTTTCCCCTTCAGGTCATTTTTGAGTCCATTGATAAATCAGGAGCTGGAGAGCCCCTCTGTGTGTCGGAGTTGAGGGGGAAATCAATGGATTTTTTTCCCTTTCTTTGCTCTCTGCCTGGTTGGCTGCCAGTGAGCAGTGTGGGACAGACTGGCCGGGCTGTCCTCAGGGTGCCCAACCAGCAAACTGGACAAACACGGACGGGGAGATGTGCCAGGGGTGATCCTACATGTGTGAGGGATCTAAGGGTGTTGTGCTGTAATAGGGAATACAGAAGGACATGCAGGACAGGGATCATTGAATCACTCAGGTTATAACTTGGTCCAGTCTCTTGCTCAAACCTGGGTCAACATTAAATTCAGACAAGGTTGTTTAGGGCATTACCTGAGTCTTAAAATCCTGGGAGGTGGGAGAGTCTATAACTATTTTGTGCAAAGTGTTCCAATACTTAATTGTCTTCATAAAAGAATTCTTCCCTATATCCAGTCAGAAACAGCTGTTTCAGTTTATGAATTTATGTCTCATTCTTCTTCCAGGCAGCCTCAATAAAGAGTCTGACTCCATCTTTGCAATAAATTCCCCCCTAAGCCCTCTTTCTCCAGGATGAACCCTCAGATTCTCCTCTTACAGGTCGTATGCTCCAACTCCATAACCACCTGCTGACTTTTCCTTGGACTCAAGTTTTTTCAAGTTTTTTTTGTACCAGGTGACCCAAAATGGCAGTATTCTGGATGTGGGCTGGGTGAGGAGGAAGAATTTCTTCCCTTGATGTTTTGGTTCCCGTTGATCCACCGTTTTGCTGTAGACACAGCCCACTGTGCTGCTCGTGTTCATCATTGCCAGGGTGCACTGCTGGATCCTGGACAGCCTGCTGGCCTCCAGGCTCTTCCTGCTTCCCATCAGTGCTGCTGCCCTAGGAGGTGTTGTTCCAGAGAGTGAGTCCATCCCAGGTGCTTTGCACTCATCCTTCAGGAATTTCCTGAGGTTCCTTTCCCTCTGCACCTCAGTATGGTGCCATCTGTGGTGAGGATGGTTTGTGGCTCACCCCCGAGGTCACTGAGACAGCTGTTAAACAGGCCAAGTCCCAGGACAGATTCCTGAGGGACTCCATGGCCTCCAGGTACTTTTCTGGACTTGAGAATACTATGTTGAGGGACTTCAGGAGAAGAAAGTTACTGGGATATTGCAGAGGCTGATGAAGAGGACAAAGGACAAGAATCTGAAGGAACCAGGCATCTCAGAAAGGTCTGTTGGTTATGGTTGAGTTTCTGAAGAGTTAAATGGACAAGACAAGCCGTCTAGTTGTTGAATTTACTTAGAATAAAGTCTTAAAATTAGGAAAACCTTTATTGTGAAAAAACCAAGATGGTGACAGTTCTTTATTAGGAAAGGAGTGTGTGTGTTTTCAGGGAAGTTGGGTAGCTGTAATTACACCACTGAGATTCAAAGAATTTTACCAATAACTCACTCATACCCTTACCTAGAATACTTAGCAGAATTTTCCATTTCAAATCTCATTTCTGGATACTAGTTAATTAAATTTACCTTCTTTCTTGCATTTTATCCTTCAGATTAGGGTTTTTTGATTGATGGCTTTGCTTACACATGTTTGCATAATAAAATGGTGCATGCTCAAGTAGGCCTTGACAGTGCCAGTCTGACTCGGAGGGGTCTCTCCTGCCCATAGGAATCGTCCTCCTGACTTCAAGGACTTCATTTGCCTGGGTGGCACTTGCAGCCTTGGGATTTAATGTGTGTGTCTGCTTTCCATTACACGTTCAGCTCTCAGCAGCCTGAGCGGGGTTCCAGCTCTATTACACACCACAAATTGGGCACCAAGAAAGGTTTAATTTAGTTTTTTCCACGATAAGGCGAAAATCAGTTAAAAGGCATATATATATGTACATTGTGCTGCAGTCCTTAGGGTAACGTGTGCGATACGGAGCCGGCGATGGCTTAACTCGGTTGAAGAGGTAACGACTTCAAAGAATCATTAAAAAAACGAACACCGGCAAGAGCTGGCGAGGAGAATTGTGCCGTGGGAGGCGCGGCAGCGCAGCCGGGGTACAGCAGCACTGAGATGGGCTCGGCAGGAGCCGCGGGAAGGGGCCGATCCCGGCGGGGCAGGAGCCGAGGGAAGGGGCTGATCCCAGTGATGGAGACGCAGGAAGGGACCGCTCCCGGTGATGGAGCGGGCGCTGACAGGAGCCGGCGGTGCTGCCGAGCGCTGCTAGCTCGGCTCCCATCACACACGGGGATGGAACAGAGCACCCGCACCCAGTCGGAGAACACACCGCTCCCATCACACACGGGGATGGAACGGAGCACCCAGCTGGGGAACACACCGCTCCCGTCACACACGGGGTGATGTGAACACATACACAGGGTGATGTGAACACACTGCTCCTGTCACACACGGGGTGGTGGGAACACTGCTCCCATCACACACGGGGGTGGAACTGAGCACCCAGCCGGGGAACACACCGCTCCCGTCACACACGGGGTGATGGGAACACACACACGGGGTGATGGGAACACACCGCTCCCGTCACACACGGGGTGATGGGAACACCCCGGTGCTCCCTTCCTCCACCTCATTTTTAGACGTGTGATGGTTCCTTGCCCTGGAGTTTGGCCGGGCAGAGATGGGAATGCCTCGCCAAACAAGCAAGCCTCCCAGGTTTGTGTTGGCTCGGAGGCCCCTCCACAACCAAGGGTTCCTCCTGCAGTTCACACTTTCCCAAATAGTCTCAAACAAACGTCCTGTGTGGTTTGCATACTCGTTATGTGTCCCAGCCAAAGCGCTCTGAGAAGTTTCGTGCTCATTCAGTGGAAAACTGACTCGGTATAATCAGCTTATTTATTCCTTTATGGTGGGTCATCTCTAATGATCTGCACAAAATGCAACTACTGATGTTTTCCTGTATGAAATATATATATCTATGTGTGCACACAGGGAGTTTGCTATACAGAAAACTGTCCTGCTGGGACAACTCACATATAGGCCTTGGTAGGACTGTAGTTTAGATTGGTGTGTATATTTGTGTATCTACGGTTTTATATCTAATACTTAGTAATTATTTTGATGAATTTAGGAATCCTTAAGTGTTACCTATATCATTCTTTCAGTAGCTTAGGTGTTTTTAAATATATCAATACATTAGACTGCAGACTGTTTGCTTTTCTTATAAACTCAGCATGAAGTATCAAATGTCCAAGTAGCTATGAATATGTGTTTGGGGGACAACTGGTGTTTCTAAATAACTTTTTTATATGACTTTACTTCTTCATATTCAATTAATAGGGATTTTTTTCCCTAAAGAATTTCTGTTGTCAGTACTATGCCAATAGTGGAGGCTAAAGGATGGAACAGTGTGCTTTGGGCTGCAGCCTCACCTCATGGACACTGAAATTCATTTACAGTAATGCTTCTGACAACAAATTGCTTTTTCTTGTGTAGAACAACTGAGAATTCAAATTGTCTCATATTCTGTTATGCTTTCTTGTAATATATTAGGATAAACTTCAGCAAAGTTCTCAAATGCTTTCAAGCGTTAAAGAAATTCTCTGATTTCTCTTTAAAACTTTTAAAGTACAGTCACATCCTTTTCAAGGGATCATGAGTGTGTCACCAAAGCCATGTAAATACACGGTCATGGATTTTCCTGTTCAAGAAAATGAAGTTATGACTTAAAGCCCTTTAGAACTTTGGGGTTTCATCTGTGGGGGGTTAAGCTAATTCTGTTTTGTTTTGTTTTCTTTGCTTTAGCTAAAAAACTAGGAATTACTGATGTGCCAGCTGAGGTCGTTACTTTTATTTCCCATGCAACACAGAACAGATTGAGGACAGTGATAGAAAAAGTGACAGTGATAACCCAGCACCGCATGGAATCCTACAAAGTAAGTGTACAAACAAAGGTGTTATATTTTACAGAGAGGTGTGGTGCTGGTTTTTCTTAGCACATGGAGATGTTTTGGTTCATTCTGGGTGCAAAGCTTGTCTTAGTTGCAGGTTTGACCACCTCAGCAAACAGAAAGAGGTGGGATGGGAGATCTGTTGTCAGCTCCATCCTCCTCCTCTGCGACAGAATTTGTGTGTGAATTGTTTTGTCTTTCTCTGCTGAGGTGTCTGACACGGAGCATCTGCTGAGCTATTTCTGCTCATGGGCTGTTGGTTCTTGACAACCCCTTTTTTGACCAAGGTATCTGTTAATTGGATCAAAATTGCTTTGGTATTTCAGAATCTGTAGTAACTTTACGTGTCCTTGGCTGTGAGAAATATTAGTATTTTGCAAAAGCTACCAACGTGTCTTAAATGAGTAACTAAAGAATTCTGCTCTAAATTCTTTGCTGTAATTAAACATGATTTTCTCTTTAAAAAGAGCATTTAAAGGTAAAATGCTACTCTGATTCTTTTGTTAGTGGTTGTGTTCCTGAAGAAAACTGAAACAACTTTGATATGTTAAACCAGGGGGGAAATTTAAATAAGAATCTGCAAACCAGGTTGAAATTCAAATTAATCAAACATCCTTATTGATATATTTGAAGTACCTTTTTCTATAGAAGTAAGATGCTAATAGTTGTTAAACTGGTGTAAAAGCAAGATGGCATTAACTGGTTGTGTGTTGTCTAAACTGTGTTTAGATTTCTTTAGCATATATATACATTGAGTAGCTCTGGATTAGTTTTTTGCTTGGTTTTGCTGTGTACTGTTTTGTTTTCCTGGAGTGGAATTTTGATCAAACATCTTTGGACTGCATCTTTGCCCACCTGTTTCCCAAACCTGAGTCACAGTCGGACTAATTCCATGTGATATTTGCAGAAATAATCACCTTTGGCATCTCTGACTACAGTCAGCATTACTGTGATAGAAAATGCATTACAAAAATAAAGGCCACTATTCCTGATTATTACCTACACTTATGTCTTTCATTGCAGTTGATGGATATATTCTGCTATATTGGACTAAAAGGAAAATCTCCTTGTTTCTTTCCAGTATTCTTTGTCAGCTTCAGCGAGTTAAATCCCTCCTTTCTTCTCTCTAGGACGGTGTCTGAGGAGAAAACAATTCACTTAGTCCATCTTAAGCCAAAGATGCATTTAAAATAATATCTTAACACATTCTTAGGAAAAAATGAGCATTGTCTCTGATTAAATTGTAGCATTGTCATTGCATTTTATATTTTTTTTGTTTAACGGTCTTCTTTGATTTCAAAGCATTGCAGTCAAAAAAGCAAACATTAAGTAGATAAATAGGATGGTAGTAATGTGGATCACTTATTTTTCTGACTGACATTCTAAGTGTTCCCACGTGGCTCGTGTCACAAACTCTTGTGGTTGTTGTGTACTAAGAAAGCTTACATGCTCTTAGTTGCAATAAGCTTCAGTTTTAATTGTCATTAGAGGCTTATTTTCAAGTGAATTTTTAACTTTAATGCTTTTATAATTCTGCATCTTGATAAGGTCTGCTACTAGTTCAAGATGAGTACAGATACAGGAATTTTAGGTTATAAGCCTGGTTATAAACTGTATCTGGGATTATTCAGTAATAAACATCTTAGAGGTTTTTCGTCAGTAAGTCTGTTGGTTTGGGTTTTTTTTAAACTGTTTGATGTCTCAGGTGCCGATAAATCAATCTTGTGGTTTTTTGATTTGCTTAGATATTAATTAAATAATCAGATTGTAGCAGCATTACTAGCCATAGGCTTAAAAAATAGAAATGTTCTTTTTATGGTTCATACAACGGAAAGATTTTAATGTACAACACCTTCAGCCCTGAAATGCATAGTGTTGTAAAAAAGCCTGTTTTTGTAGAACACTGTCCCTGTTTTGCAGGATGATGAGTGGTACGAACAAGCTACAGACGTCCGAGCACAGTTAAAGTTCTTTGAACAGCTGGAGCGTTTAGAAAAGCAAAGGAAAGATGAACAAGAGAGGGAAATCTTGTTAAAGGCTGCCAAGGTATCAGTTCTACTCTATTTTTTTTAACTACTTAACCATTCATAGTCTGTAAACAATTATTTAATTTTGTGGGATCTGTTTCATAAACACATTTTGTGTCTTACAACAAAAATACTGTTGAGCCCTCACACCTTTAACTCCTTCAATCAAGCTCTGATCTGGGATGACTCCAGACCTACCTGACTGGAATTCTTCTGTGTTTTGAGGATACAGCTCTGGATTTGATGAATTCTTGGGAATACAGGAGACAATGGCTAAAATTTTCAAAGTAACTCTGGGAAATAATTTTTCAATTGCCTTTGAAATTTAAAAGATGCCAGGGTTTCTGTGCCCCTTGAAAATCATACCTCACACTTCTGGTATTTAAACACAATTCAGTAAATTCTTGGGGATTCTTTTTTTTGAGGCTTTTTACTTCTTAAGTTTCTAGACTTTGTTTTTAAACAGTGTTTTTCATTTGTTTATCCTAATTTGTGTTCCAGTCACCTCTCTGTAACTGCATTATATGATTGATTCGTGCCTGTCTTCAGTGAGCTATCAGTTCTTCTGGACTTTGCTCCTTTGTAACTTCAATTCCAGAAACTCAATTTTTATACATGCAATAGAACAAACTCAGATAATATTGTTTCAAGAGCACATAGGTATAGATAAATCTCCTGCTTATGACTGTAAATTTAATTATATGTATATCACATCAAACTGCAAATAAGTTTATCCCTTAGTTGTCCCATTTCTAATTGTATTTGAATTTTCATTTAATTATTTATTTTATATGCTGAAAAGATTATACAGAACAACTCAATGTTCAGTTGCAGCACAGCCTCCTGATTTTGTGCCAATAATGTTCACGAATTGAGAGATTTTATTTTTTTTTTTAAACCTAGCCTTGCTTGTTTCAGAAATCTATTTCTCAATTAGGGTACTTTAATCTGTCCTCTTTGCACTCTTAATTTATAATTGCTCACATTGTAAATATTCCACAGATTTTCCCATAACATTAGATACTCTTCAAATGTTTTGATGAAAATAGATTTCCTGTTTTCACTCTTAATTCTTATTCATTAGAAATAAAGAAATGCCTATTTATTATTTATCCTGTTTTCTCCATTCAGTGAATGCATCTTGATGAATCATGTTTTCTGTGTATCCTGCTGCTTGTTGTTTGTTTTGGTTGCTTTTTTAATGGACATTGAGAAAAATGCAGTAGCTTATAGTCCTTAGTTCAAAAATGTTTCCCTGACTGCACAAAGCAGATTGATCTGAGATTGGGTTAGATGACCTCCCATTGTTCCTTCCAACCTGAATTCCTTCATGAATTGATATTCTTTAGTTTGGGTTGGTTTTTTTTAGTTGTTGTTTTAGTCTTGAATAATATAAACTCCTGTGAAGTCAAAATTTAGGAAATAAATACATGATCTTCAAGTTTGATTCCTACAGGTTACAGGAAGAGCAAATTGAAGAATTCTGCAACAAACAAATGTAAAAGAGTCCCTTGATTGATTTGAAAAAATTGCCTTAATGAAAGTAATGAATGCACAAATCAACTTCCTAACCAGGGAGTCGTAGGAGACAGCTTGGCATAAACACATGGTATCCTAGAAAAATACCTGGAGGTATTGAAAAACCAAACCCAAACCACAGAGTGGCCATGGCAGAGCAGTGCTGATTTATCAGTATTAATGTTTAGAGAGAGAAGTTGAGGATGTTGTGAACCTCTGGGGAGGTGCTTGTGAGATGTGGTGATTTAAAGGTAAATACCACTTTGGAACTGAACTTTGTGCAGTGTTCAGCTGCTGCTCCCCATTCTATCCCAATGGATTGACAACCTATTGCAAGACTTATGTAGGACATAGTTTGGCAAAAATATGGTGAGATTACAATTTTTTATTCTAAAGAACAGATTTTTCATTATTTCCTTAGGATCTGTGGTGCTGCTGAAATGCAAAAACCCCTGTCCATGTCCAGTGATATCTGTTGAGGTCTTTGTTCTGAATTCCTACACACTTATTCCTTCCCATGGATTTGGGGTTTTTTTAGGGTCCTTTATGAACTTGCCTAAGGATATCTCGGTTCTTGTGGAGAGGATGCAGTAACTGTAGTGGCACAGTTAAAATCTGCCCTGATAAACAGTGATGGTGTCTGCAAAGGGGGTGATGGTTACACTGACTCTGCAGACTGAAATATCCACATGCAAATGTGATGTTTCTCCAACCATGGCACCTTTGTCTTCTTGACAGTGTTGTCTTTATAAAGGACAGAAAAATTTGGGTTTTAAATAGAAATTGCTGTTTGGTTTGTTTTGTTTTTTTTTACTGCAGGTGCTTAAATCTAAAAATCATACTTATTTTTATTTTTAACTGCAGCTTCTTAATGGGCCTTTTAGACAAACAGAATGATCTTTTATCTTGTGTTTTGACATATTATTTTGCAACATGTTTAATGAAAGTTTCAAAACTTCCTGCCAGTGGTACCTCATCTACTGTCTTGTGTGGAAGAACATAAACAGGTTGAATGTGCACAGTGAAAATTCTTTTTTAATTGTTTACAGTTTGGAGCCTTGTTAACAGCCAAAGTCCAGGTTTTGACAAGGAGTAAGATAGTGAAGGAAATGTTTCGGGCACTGGAGTGGATGGTATTAAATAATCAACCTAATCACAGAATAATCAGTGGAGAAGATAATGAAAAATGAAGGAATAGATTGAAATCAAAGGGGAGGCAGCATGAGTCTTTGGGCAGCCTTGAAGCCAATTAGGTAATTTTGCATTAGAGTTCAGTAAGGGGTAAAAAAAATGCAAATGATGGTCAAAGAAAGTGTCAGGTTTGCAGGTTTTTGTTGTTTTGTGTGATGGGTTGGTTTCATTAGGAGGAGAAAGGAAAATATTTGACAGGAGTGTTGTGGTTGATCTGCAACCACAATTTCAGTTGTAACAGTAGGATGTGTTTGCAGGATTTGTGAGCACCCAGATGGGGTTGGGTTTGCTTCAGAAACTGTCTTGGGGAGAATGACAGAACAAATCAGATGGGCAGATAGAAGAAAAAAAAGGTTTCAAAAAATACAATTTTTGACATTGTGAGAAAAGTCACTAAGTTAAAATTAGTTGTGAAGCTCACAAGTAACAAAATAGCAGTATTATTTAGGTTGTTAAATGAGAGAATATTAACAAAATCTTATGTCCCATGCCTGGGAAATACTTGAGAAATAGAAACTTCGTATCACAAGCTTAGAAGCACAACAACTGATGTTCTCATTCCAGTGAGAGATTGTGGGGGAGGACAAACTTTACAGGAAAGGCCAAAACCATACTATGCTACAGTAGCAATGCAACAGATAATTTCTTTTAAATGAAAAACCTAAAACCTGAAAGCACAACTATGCTGTTTTAGGAACTGGAATGATCTCTTGCACCTCGGGGGTCCTGCATTGTGTCCCCCAGTGTCCCCATACCAACCTAGACCGTGTGACCCAAAGCATTTCTCTAATATACTCCCAGTAATTCTTTCTATCACAGAAGTGTTTAAAGACATCTTGGTCCCCAGGCTGTGAGGTCCAGTCACCTCCTGCTGCTGGAGCAGCTCCTGTTTCCCACACTCAGGCACTCTGAGGTGTCCTGTGCAGCAGCTCTGCAGGGAGACCCTGAGTTGTCAGTACTTTTGGGTTCCTTCCTGACACGTGCCAAAGGCACAGGGAGGGTCCATCTTATACAGTCTCTTTGAAGGAAGTATTTGGGAGAGTCACCTCCTGGCCCTTGTTTGTTTTCCCAGTCAGGCCCCACTGGCTGTTGTTCCCAGGAGTGTGCAGGGCCAGACATCTCCTGCTCCGCTCTGAGGTGACTGGTACAGGAAAGAGCAGGAAGAGCTGAGGGAAGAGCTGCAGAAAGGTCAAAAGCCAGGCTAAAATCACTTGAGGAATTTACATTTGACATGGTGTGTGTTGTGTGGACTTTCTAAAAAAAAACCAAACCCAACAAAGCACGGGTCCTACATAGTAAATCTGTGTTCTTACTGCCTTCAGAGCTGATTCCAAAACCTGGGAAATGCAGGTGGTGCCTGTCAGATTGAAGGAAGTTCTGGTCTAGTAATGGAAATATTTCTGGCAGCAGGAGGAGTAGGAGGTTGTAGCTGATTTGTTGTTGTTTGTTTGATTTTATTTCTGATTTTTTTTTTTTTTTTAGAGTGGTGCTTTATGCAGTGAAGATACACAGCTTGGGGTTGTCCTGGTTTTCAGAACATGAATGAATCATACTTGTGTGTTATAATCTACAATAAAGTGGATCATGTTAAAATTACTGTGTTAATTCATCTGCTCAAAGTGGCTAAATGCATGTTTATTTTATTATAAAATTAACTTTGAAATTTAATTTCCAATGTATACAGTCCATTAGTCTGTTATTTTGAGTGTTCTGTTTTAGTAGCACAAGCCTGTCAAGTTTTTGGATCTTAAATATAACAAGATATCTTATTCACAAGAATGAGATCTGTTCTGTAAAAAGAAAATTTACATAAGTAAATGGAAAGTCATGTTTAGAGTTGTTTGCAAAGTTAATTAGCATTTATGGATGATAGTGATTTTTATAGTACTATGGGCTGAAGGGCCTTTTTATTGGAGAGCTCCCTGAAATTTGGTGATGCAGATTCCCTTACACACATCCTGCGATGACTTGAAGGGGCTGCTCTGTGAGTCAGAGCTGAGTTCAGCTCTCATGCCAATTTAATCCTTCCCCTCTCTTCTGAGAGCAGCCTTCCGTGAGATGGACTCGAAACTCCATTCTGATGAGAGGAGAGCAAAGGGGGAATCATTGTGTTGAGATAATTTTCTGATTTTTTAGGAATTTGTTACTGCAATTTTAATGATTTCAGTATAAATCATTTCCCAGACCTGAGCTCTTGCATTCCACCCCAACGTGGCCGTAACATCGAGCAGCGTTTCACCCTCAGCTATGATGCTTTTAACTTCCACTTTTTATTAACAAAGCTAATGTGAAAGCAAAGTGTTTCATGTTGCCGATTTAATTTCTTTAATTAGAAGTGAAAGTTATAAGCTGGTACAGCCGTGGGTGAAGTTCTAATGTCATCAATGGGGAAAAAATAGGTTTCAAATTGAAACTGTTGGCACAGCGGTGGCTCTCAACAGCACAGCACCTGCAGTTGTGACTCTTGACTTTATTTAATGAAAAAAGATGAAGTTGAAGCATTAAAGGCTCCAGTGTATGTATTGGGAAAGGGCAGTAGAGCTGCAAGTGCCTTTACTGGGATCAGGTGTAGCTAAATGCAGGAGAGACACGGTGAGACATTTCCTGCCACAGGTGGAACAAGCTGAGAATTCAAAATTCTTACAGATCTAACAGAAAACTTTTTTTTGTTGGTGGGACAAAAATTTAACAGCAGTGCAACTTTGGTATTACTAATCACAACAAAATACTGAATAATTTTGATAATTACATACATCAAAGGACTATTAGTCTGTCCATCTGCATACATGGAGGGTATCCTCCAATTTTAAAAGTAATTGGTGCTTGAATTTAAGTATTACATGGGCTTATTATTTTAAAAATACTGTTGCTTTCTAATTTAAGGCAATTCTGTGAAATCCAAAATCCCCTTAAAACTACACTGTTAGATGTGTAATTGTCTGTTTGTGTGGCCTCCTTCCTTAACACAAGCAAGGGGAAAAGCTGAGGTTTGGAACATTAGGGAGTTTGGTAACATGTAAACGAACCCCCTTATTTCTGTTGTGCTTTGAATACACACATTAAAATATGCTGCTTTTCATACTTTGAAAGTCCAATATTTCCATAGACCTAATGTGATCTATGCAGGTTTCAGATAAATAGGATAGCAAGTTCTCTAACACAAAGCGCTTTCATTCTTCACAATTAAAATATCAGGCTGTCTGGTCTAATAAAGTTAGCTTGTGTTTGGGAGAAATGTTAACAAACCTGGTTTGGTGAATAAGTTCTCAGTAGGAGACAGCATTTAATGTATTTAAAAAGTATGTAATCTGGTTAGGATCAGTCCTAGGTTTCTCTAAAATTACTATGGGAAGCCAGCTTACTTCTAAAGGTGTTTATTCATCAACAGGAAAATACATTACATAAATGCAGCTTGCTTTATTTACAGATCTAGGCATGATGAACAGGGAAGGGAAGGCAAAAGAGTTGTGATGAACTCCTTGAAAGTATTTGATTTGGTGAGTTCTGTGGTTAGTGGGTGTTTCCAAAGCTTTAGAGGAAGGAGACATTGGTGTATTAAAAGATTTTGGAAAAGCGTGTTTCACAGAACAGGTGAGATGCTGCATATTAATATTTGGATGTTAGAGGGGGAAAGGAGAAAGGAAGAGAAACCCCAAAATATGAATGACTTTGAAGAAAAAGTTAAGCTGCAATTAAAAAAAAGCTAGGAATGATTAGTCAGTACCTTGACAGAAGTAAGTGTAAAATACTAAAATAATTGCTTAGTAAAAATGGTGCCATGCAGACAAACACTGCAAGAGCTGAGCAGCAGCAGAATTGTTCAGACTCTTCAGAGGAAGGGAAAGATGTTCACGTGTGGAATGGAGTGTAAAGGGAATCCAGTGACATTTTTAAAGCTTATCTGGGCACCTCTGTTAAGCTTGACATTTTCATTTGCTTTAATCTGTGTTGCATCAGCATTGAAGAAGCATTTTATAATTTACATTAGATGGTAAAGTGAAGAATTAATGAAATAGATGTTTATACTTGCCCTGTAACACATTTTAGCCTCCATATGCTGATTTTATTTCTGAAGGTTGCTGACATGGTAGGCAGCAGGAACGTCTTCTAGTTTTAAAAATCTGTTTTTTTAAAAACTATTAAAATTTATCTGAACACAAAAAGAAACAGAAAATAATTACAGTTAAATTCTTCAGATTTTTTAGTTGTAATGACACATGCAGTGACACATGCAATGTAAAGTTGGAATTCTGCTTGTCTGAAAGGAAAGCTAGCCTTTGGAAAGGCTGTTTGGTGTGGATTCAAGGAATAACTAGAAAATTATTGCATTGTTCTAAATGTAAAAGTAGTTCTCCTTTCACCTTCGGTCTGGATTTATATATGTAACTTCACCTGGTATTTTAGATCTTCACTTTTGAAATAAAATCCTTTATATAGTATCATTCAGGAGCTAAGTATCTGGTCTCACCTCTGCAGTAATTTTCATTATTTCATTATAAGGCTGGAGGTTTACACAGAGCAGATCATCTGCTTTTGCTTGGTGAGATTATCCTGAACTCCAGATCTAATTTTATTTGGTTGGTTTCTGGGGAGGGGGGGAAACCCCAACTCTTAAATGTGTTACTTTTTTACTCTGTAGCACTTTCAGAGTTTTTCCTTCACTTATAGAGTCTAGGAAACTGCAGTGTTACTTTGCATCTATTGCTTTAATTTTTCTTACAATGTCCCCAAACACAGTGCAGGTCTGGTGTGTTTTCCAGGGTTCTATCACTTCCTTGTAGAAAGTTGGTAACAATATTAGAGGTCTCAGCTGGATTCTCCCAGGACACTCTGCTTTCTCCTTAAGCTGATGTGCTTTTAACTTGTGCTTTGCATTTGGCAAATGTTTCAGCTTCATACAGTGGTGTAACAACACTTTGTGTTTCTGCTTTCACTCTGAGACTTAGAAGGCAATAGAAGTTCATTGTACGTTTATAAATTTATCATCAAAACCCATGAAAGGGCTAAATGTGCTTTTCCATACATCATACTGGAGAAACTGAGGCTCACAGTGATTGAGCTGTCACTGCAAAACCACAGAGCAAGGACTGGTTCAGTTCAGTTCATAAATACTTACCTGAGCTCATCTCCTAGAGAAGCAACTCACTGAATGGGGTGGTGTTCCTTTGGGTTTTAACCCGATAGGTTTAAATCTAATCAAGTTTTTAGCAATTGCTGTGCTGAATAGAACCCCAGCTCTCTGGCAGATCCACATATTTCATGAAATACCTTTTTGTCCTTTGAACATTAACTAGGTCAGATTATCCACATTTTTGTTTGACCACAGCATTAGAAGGAATCTCAATCTGTATTAAGGAGGAGTTTCTTTCTTGACTGACACAACTACAACACGAGAGTCTGACTTGGTCATTGGCCATCTCAGGTTTTAATTTGTCCTTCACTGCAGACACTCTCCTGTCAAACAGCCTCTTGTGGCAACAGGCACAAAAGGTGTTGGTGTTGGAAGGTGGAACCGATGTGCACAGTGGCAGAGTGTTAAGCACATCATCTAAAAATCTCATTATTGTTTAATTTGACCATGCTTTATCATCACTGTGTTTTATATGTGTGCTACATGAGCTAAGAAAAAACAATCCCAGTTAAAAAAACAAACCAAAGCAACAGAAACCAACAAAAACTAACAGGGAAAAGGATAGAGAATTCAGTGCCATTGTTGCCCTGTCTGCCAAATCATAGCCAGGGCACTCTCCAGGTGTATCAAGAATACTGTGTGACTCTTTTAAGGGTAGGCTCTTAAACCAATCTCCCTTTGATTTTCTTACTGGATTTTTAAATTCTGAACAGAATATGGTATGAGAAATTCAAACACCAGGAAAAAATCTGAGCATGTGTAAGTTTGCAGACTAATGTTCTTCCAGGTTTCATGTCTGTCTTCAGCATAGCAATAATCAGAGAAAGACAGAGAGGAGAGGCCATACATATTCTTATTCCTTTAGGAGTTGTGTTCATGGTATCACTTTAAATCTCGAAGAAATACTGAAATAAAACTACTGCATCTCTCAGATATCAGGAACAACAGTTTTCTGTGGATGTCACAAGTTCTGTTGCAGCTTCTTGCAACTTTTTATGCAGCCTTTGCTGAATGCTGACCTGTCAGGCAATTATAAAAGTATAATGCCTGTATTATCTGCCTCTTGAGTTTTGAATTCCATCATTTTGAATGCTCAGCACAAGTAAGAATTGAAAAGTTTTAACATCTGGTTGTAAAATAGTTTGTATCTAAAGAAATGCACTGCTCTGAGTTGTTTTTGCAATTAAACAATTGTTCCTAATGGGGTTTTAGAGCTGTTGTTCCTGGTTTTGAAGGAAAATACAGAGGTTACCATTTAGCAATATTTATCCAGTTTTAGAAGTGAAAACATTAATATCAGTAGTGCATGAATGAGTTTAATGTGTGTGTTCCTGTGCTGTACTCACAGTAAGCTCATAGAGGTAGTAGCATCTTTATTATGATTTACCTTTTGGGAGGGTGACTTTACAACTGTTTCCTCCACGTTCTCTAATTAAAAGCTGAATTGCAAGTTTTAAAATAAGTGACTGTAAGGAGTTAAATAAAAAATTTTAGATAGTGGAAATGGTGTCACTTTCACTCTTGGATGCTTGAATTCATTTGTATGAAATAATTGAAATCTAAACCTGTATGGAAACTTTAGCATTGACAAAAACATGGGGTTTTTTGAGTTTTGGGTTGATTTTTTTTTAAATTTAAATCTACAGTAGATCTTATTTACAACTGAACATTTAACAGTCTTTTGGGTGAGGTTTATGGCTTTGAAATTGCTTTTCTATCAATTTAAGTGCCCCGTGTTTGATACTTTGTATCCTGTTCCTATTGCTTTCCTATTTTTTAACTTACTGCAACAGATGAGGGGTTCTTAAACCATCTGTTAACCTTTTTTCCCCGTTTTTTTTAACCTTGTAGAGTCGCTCAAGGCAAGAAGACCCAGAGCAAGCTAGACTGAAACAAAAAGCAAAGGAGGTAAGCAGAGCTAGAGATCATTACACTTGACATTTCAAGGCTCGAACATATTAATTTTTTATGCCTTGCTACTTGTATATCGTTAATAAAAATCTGACTAAAAACTTTTTAGGATGTATTTGTTGCTTTGCCTTTGATCTTAATGTTTGCAAACTAATACATTAATACATGTGAAGCCTAAGGAGATTTTATAAGAGAATATTTCCATACATTACATTTTCATTTCCATTTTAGGTAGCTGTAGCTTTTGTTGGGTTGTTGATGACAGCAGCTCTAGATTTTGGTGGAAACTATGTGCCTTTGTCTTTTTTTGTAAAATGTCACTTTCTTAGAAATGTGCTACTTAACAATTTTGTTCTGGTAATGTTCTTTCAAATAAGGTAATTGCAGTCAGTTCCTCTTCCGTGTGATGCAGTGGAATATTTACTTATCTGTCTAAATTACAATAATCTAAAAATTATCAAATAACTTCAGATCAAGTTGTGACATGTTACTCTAAGAATAACAATTTGTGAACTATTGAGTACCTTAATTTGCTTAAGGCATCTCATGCCTTAGGATTGGGTTGTAACTTAAATCAGTCAGAAAGTCTAAAATATCTATCAGTTGAAAGTAACTTCAGCAAACTAGTGCTATTTTTTTTAGCCAACTTCCTTGGATATATACATTAGCAGGTAATAATTATACATTAGAAGCTAATATATACGGAAAAATGCAAGTTTTTTATTGACCTGTTCTTCCTGTTTTGTTTCCCCCTTGACAGTGTTCTATAGTCCCGTTAGCTATACAGATTTTATATATATAACAGTAAAAAACCATCCAGATTCATGGCTGAGTTTTATTTCTTTATTTCATTATGTGATTGTGTAGTAAGATTTGCTGAAGTGAATTCTTGTAAACGTTAAACCAGGCCTTAGTGTTTCCAGTGTCAAGCAAGTATTGAAATGAAATAGAGTAATCAAGTTATTTGGCAGGAAAAGAGGCAAGATTTTAATACTACTTGGGTTTTGTACGTAGCTGGTGTATGCAAAGGAAGAATCAGATAATTAATGGCAGGCAGAACTTGCTGTTGAGCTGAGAACCAAAGCTGCTGGAAGTTCAAGTGGGCTGGAATATTTAATTCCATGGCATTGCTGCCACAGAATTTGCTTTCATGGTAATTCTTTTTTGGCCGCTGGAAACTTGAGGAAGCAAAAGCGAACAACAGGGTCAGACCCCCACATTTGCAGTGATCTGAGGGAACTCGAGGTTCTCTTCCCGGCTGTGATAAAGGTGTGCACCCCGGGCAGAGCTGGGGGTGCAGCTGCAGCACTGCTGCCCTGGCCGGGAATTGGGGTTTCCCGAAGGAACCGATCGTCTCCCACTAGAGGGAGCGAGGCTGTGCTGGCAGGGAACAGCGTGCATGGAATGCACTCTGAGCAGTGAGAACGGGGCTCTTAGGAAACAGGGAGCAAATATTTTGGCGGTAACCTGATTAAAAATGCTTGGATCACACCGGTGTGTGATTTTCAAGCAGTGCTGTTCCTGGGAACGATAAAATTTGCAGTTCCAATTCCTGGGCAGGGGCAGAGGAGGGGCAGGGACTGAGCTCTGCTCTGGGGGGACCAGGGACAGCAGCCAGGGAATGGCTGGAGCTGTGTCAGGGCAGGCTCAGGTTGGATCTCAGGCAAAGGTTCTTCCCCCAGAGGCTGGTTGGGCACTGCCCAGGCTCCCCAGGGCAGTGGGCACAGCCCCAAGGCTGCCAGAGCTCCAGGAGGGTTTGGATGATCCTCTGGGGCACAGGGGGTGACTCTGGGGCTGGGCCTGTGCAGGGCCAGGGGTTGGACTGGTGGATGGTCCTTGGGGGTCCCTTCCAGCCCAGCACATTCTGGGATTCTGTGATTTGAGTCAATGCAGGAGGAGTACTGGGTTTTCCCTTTGAGTGCTGCACCCTGTTCTTTTGTACACCAGCCCTGCCTTCCTTCCCACCCTTCTAATAAAAGTGTATAATTTGCTGGCACTGTGCCTCTCTCTGAAGTTGAATTTCGTTCTACATGTTTGAAACCATAAGAAATATAAGCATGTCTCTGTTTTTAGTAATCAGGTTTCTGAAGCTCTTTCTTCAACTGGTTTAGAGACTTTCACTTGAAGTGTTAAAATTTATTTAGTAAAAACATTTTCTTTTGCAAAAGGCAGTGGGGTGTGGTACTGGCAAGATTTTGTTTTAATATTGTTCATATTTTTTTCTGCATTAGATACTGGATTTATTGGCACTTCCAAAATAAAATATAACCCATTTTATAGTATAAAAGGTTGTTTAGGAAAACTGTCTTTGGCATGCCTTTGTCATTTGAAATTACAAGCTTTGAATCAACGCCTACAAAAATGTGAAAATTTCAAAACTCCACTGCCAACTGGGCTACTCTTAAATGTGCATATGACCCATAACTCAGAGAGAAAGTGGGTTTTTTCCAGGTTTTGTATAAACTGATGAATATAATACTGTCAGCTTTGATAATAAGCTGGATTTGAAGCTGTGTTTCCATGATTTCTGTGTCTTGAGTATTGCCTGAAGATGTTTGTTGCTCAGATATTCTTCTAGACAATAGTAAAGTGACTTTCAGGTAGTGTTTTGAAAAGCACAAGGAGGGCATCCAAGAAACCTGCAGCACTTCTAGCCTGTGTTGCTTGTTTAACGATATAATTGTCAGATAGTTTGTTTTTTCATCCCAGCAAAACGGCTATTTAGTATGTTCTGAAAGTGGATAATGTTTCAGACTTTCATCAGTTTAAACAGTGACACTAGTGACAAAAATCAGGGGGAGAAAATGAAATACCAGAAGAAGTAATTTAAAGTCTTTTAAGAAAGTCTTCTAAATCTTTTAGGAAAAAACTTCTCAAAACATTGAAAGAATTCTAGAAAACATTGTCTTTGAATGCAAAATAAAGGTACCTATACAAGGATAATAGGATCAAGAGGAAAGAAAGAAGGCTAGCAAAGGGTATTTGTTGCAAAACAGTCTCCTTTATGGATATTTTGGAGTCTTCATGCAGTAACATTCTGTTTTTCTTCCTAATTTAAAAAGAAAAAACATTAGTTCCATTTCCTTCACAGAACATCTACCAGTTCCCTTCCTGTTTATTAGTGTCCTGAAGACAATGTACAGTGGGATCTTTTGAACACACTTTAAAATTAATCTGTAAGGTGAAGATTGTTGGTGGGTTTTTTTCTGTAACTCCATCTTGCTCATTTATTAGCCAGTCTTCAAATCATTCTGCATGTTATTTAAACCAAGTTGGCATAAATCAAATTTAAACTGCATTTAAATACTTACCCAAGCAAACAGAAGGCCCAATACATATGGTCTTATTGCAGGGACCAGATAACTGAGGTTTCATTCCTACTCCAGCACTGTTTTAGTTAAGCCAGAGCAAACCCACTCTGATTCCAGTTTGAGTGACTTATTTTGCTTTAGTATTAACCTGTTTCAAATGGACTTGAGTGAAAGCAAGAGAACGTGCCTTTGGGGGGGTTTATGGCTCAAAACTCTCCCCTTACTTTCAGACTTTTAAATTGGTGCAGCCTTTTGTCAGTGGACAGCATATGATTGTTTTAATGGTAAACCTATTTAATAAACTATGGAAAATTACTTTCCATTGAGACCATTTCAAGGAGAAGTGCTGCTCTTCAGCTGTTACTTGTTGCATTTCTTTGTAACAAATTCTGAGATGTTTGATTTGTACAATTTAATGTAAGAAATAGCATCATTTGTGAGCAGTGATTAAAGCTTTTAAAGTCAAGTTTTAGGAAATACACTGATTTATGTAGTCTGGAAGTGAGGCAAGTCACAAATGTAAGTTAAAGAAATTATGAGTTCTCTAATTTCCATTAAAAGGCTTCATTAAATAGAACATAAAACAGGCCACATGACTGATAGCAGGAATAGATCAAGATTAGGAAAAACTGAGTCAACACCTAGTAATTAATAATACAAATAGTTTAAAGGAAAGACAGGGAGAGTAAGATCCTAAACATCCTTTCTGTCAGGGATATTTTTCTACATATTCAGGGTCTGTTGGCTAAAAATGTTTTAATTTAAAGTCAAGTAGCTGAGCTTGATCCTGAAAGATTAACTTGGTTAAAATCTTTGTGTCATCACCAACCGAGAATATTGCATAATAATAAAAACTTAAACCAGACACCATAAATGTCTGGGCACGTATCCAGGACCTAGATCAGCTGAGATAACACTCAGTTGGATCTGCTCTCCGAGGACTCCTTAACCATGCAAGGGAAACCTCAGACCTGTGGCTGTACATCCTATGGAAGCCTTAGGATCTTGGGGAAGGCAGGAGACAGCCCTTTGCATACCTTTGTCAGCAGGGGTAGCCCATCTTCCTGAGGCTGGACAAGGTCCTCTAACAGGGATGTGCATTTGGGGGGTTGCTGTTGGGAGTGTTACCCTGGCCAGGAATTTGGGAGTGCTCAGTTCTTGCATCAGCTGAGCAGGGACAGGTTTTTTCCACCCTCCCAGAAGGAGCTGCATCCAGCATTGTGGTAAGCACAGTGCTTGGGTCCTGCCATCCCCGTGGCTGCAGTGCCCTCTGGAACAATAGGCTAAGGTTTAGACTTTAAACTATATCCTTTTCTGAGTTATATGCAGAAAAATATGTGGACTGTTAGCAGATAGGTTTTATAAGAAACTATGGGATCCTTCTCTTAAAAATAATGAAATGTGTACATCATATGATGTATATCTTCTGTGGCTCTAACATTGCCTTAGAGATTTTAAATTCCTCAGAAAAACATAACTTGTCATAGCAGAATTACTGAAACTCTGGTATCGTTTACTTGGCGATTACAATATGAAAACAATTTTACTCTAAATAATTTCTTGTCACCACACTAATATTTATTTATCAACTCAGTAGAAGTGGCTTCTTTTAAAATATTTAAATGTTAGTTTACTGCAGTTATCCTGTTTTCATAATTACTGAAAATGAAAAGCAAATGAAAAGGA